AGCAGTGTCGTCAAGCTGGGATAGAATTGGAAGATCGAGCTGTGTTCTGTGACAGAGGGAAAGTGATCAGCGCTTCTGAAATTTTTTTCTGCACCACTGGAATCCGCATCAATTTACGTTATTGTACTGTTCGTATAATGCGGAATATCAGAAGAACTTGCAGAATGTCCGGCAACGACTTTGAAAACGCTATTTGGAAGGTACAATCTGCTTCGACTCGCAAAGAATTTAAGGCAGCTATGGAAGAACTAAAACGCAATACGGTAAACGGATTTTTCGATACGTCAAGCAAATTATACCATGGAGGTGGACAGTTCATGCCAACATGTCAACGTACGTGCGCTCATCTTTATCGATTTGTGAAAATGGCGACAGTTCGACTGGCGAGAGTGCAGACACTGGAAATGATCATTGTCCTGAGTCTAACACAGTATCTGGCAATGACGGTCGTCCCGTTCCTAACTCTGGATTTGGAAATAATCTTAGTGGATCGGACGCTGATAGTGTGATGACAGATAATTACAACTCCGAGGAGTGGCGGGCTCTTTCTCTGTTTGAGTGGAGGTCCTCGAACTTTGTTGAAAGTGAAAATAACGCTATGCTGGATAATGGTATTAGGACATCTGCCCCGTTCAATGCATTGTACTCGATTGCAGTGGTTGAAATGGAGCGACTGGTGGAACGTAACAGAAACTTAGAGGAGTGGCAAAAAGATCATCGCGATTTGACACCGTACGCTAAAAAACTTTGGGAACAAGAAAAGAACCTATCAGGGCAATATTTGATGGTCCGGTCATCGAGTTCAATGTCCTACGTTTTGTATACTGGCAGTTCTAGGGCTATTCAAGTGCAAATGGATCCTCCGTCTTGCACTTGTACTACTTTCGACCAAATGCGGATCGCGTGCCGCCACATTATCGCACAATTTCAGGAACGAGGAGACATCGAACACTCAAAACTGGCCTTTCACAAGAGCTATCTTGTTTCGTCATATAGGGACGCCTTCGGGGGGAAAGCCGTGTCATTGCCAGTCCGAGATATCGATAGCGGGGACAGTCCTGTGCTTCCGTTGCCATACTATAAACAAGCTGGCCGACGCATTACAAGAAGAATAGCAAGTGCTGGCGAAGACTCTAATACAAGAAAGTCAACGTACAGATGCAAGAACTGCAGTGAAGTTGGCCACAACAAGCGCACATGTCGGCGGCATGCAAACGAGAGTGACGAATCAAACGACCAATTGATAGCAAGGCTGGTGCCTTTGCCTCCGGTGGCGACTGCCGAAGCCCCGTCACAATATGGTGACGATCAAAGTAGTACAAGCGACCGACTTTCGTTGGATTTTATTTTGTCTTAACAGAGGCACCTGTAACAAACTCCCGTAATTCACTATACTTAAATTAGAGCATATAATGAGATGATATGCAGCGTGAATCTTCAATCACATTATATAATACACTTCAAAGTATTATATATTTATATTATTTGAAATCAAGATGTCTACATGGTTTTACTTTTTAATGAAGTACAACAATCTAACCATTTACTGTTTAAATATTGTTTAGACGTCGACTGGAGTGATACATCAACGCTGATGGATTTACGAGAGTATACATACTGACAATCGCGGGTGCTCTCGAAAGGGTGTAGGCCTATCCGGTGTAGTAGCTCGTGACAGAGCTGCTGTCGCTGAAGAAGACTGGGTGCTAATTAATTGACACATATGTTGCCTACAGTTCCCGAGGGAAAATCTGTTGGTAAGACCAGTACAATGAAAATCTGTTTCGCTTTGCTGCCAACAGAAAGTCACTGCTTAGAGAAGGCAGTGCGTACAATCTGATTTTCCGTTCGTCAGGACAAGCAGAGATGTACTAGTATGTAATAATGAAATGCTGGAGTTAAGAGTCACGCACTGTGTTGTGCTCACTGGGTACCTAGTGCATGAGCGCGCCGAACTGCATGGGCCAGTTCCTCGACTTGATATTCCAGCGAATCTCCATGGATGAAGACAACGCTCCACACGTACACTCCTTCTGTCGCAGACAATCTGCATCCTGCAACTTGACCAACTCGATGCTCCTTGTATGTTTTTCCTTCATCTTCGATATCAAATTCTTGGACAACAGGCCACTTTAAAGGCTTTCCAGGGGTCTTTGTGATCAGTTGAATGAGTCGATCGACATCATAGGGATCTGAGTCACGTGTCAGTCCTCCCTGGAAATCTCTCCGCTGACCAGGCAACCCTCGCATCGGGATCTTTTGCAACGCTAATCCAATTTTGAGCTTATTCAGCAAGTCGAGGGAAGCGATTACGTGGGAGCACACCCAACCTGTATGCATAAAATTTTTGCAGGTACAACGGAACACATTCCTGATTAAGCATATCTGTCCATATAAAAATACTATTTAGATAAAGTAAAGTGGAATACAGTTTGGCACCATGGCGTACCTCTTCAAAACGCCACTTTGATCTTGGTATTAGCGGATTCATCTGCACGAGCGCCCGTCGGTCTACAGTCGCTTGCTGTAGTGATATAAATGTGATTTCGCTTCGTTTATAGGTTGAGATGGGCCAAGCTTTCCCAACAACGAGTTCTTAAATCTAGTTTAACATTCGTTCAATACACAATTTCATATCAGATAGATTTGTAAGTAAGTTAATACGTTTAAGAACCGTACCGCTCAGTTCGCTCCACAGTTACACTTACTGCGGATAGATTTTCTGCGGCCATTGGTAGTACCATCGTGTTATCACTATTGAAGAATATTCGAATTCGTGTTGTAGACCTAGCGATGCAGTAGTTATCAGGGAGAAGTAATTGCTTTTTTGCCTTCACGACAGCATTAATAGGAAGTGGTCCTAACATCACAAAGAAAAAAATTAAATGGATTGATGTTCGTAATAATAATAAATAAATTTCAAACCTTCTGCGTAATGCCGATGATGTTCAGGTGTGAGATTGGTGGCGTCGTACAGGAGTACCCGTGGCAACACGGAATTCAGCACCGTAATTGTAGGAGCTTTTTTATAGTCAGTGACGATTACTTTAATGACGCGGTGATGGCTTTCAATAGGCTGCTGGGAGGGAAGAAATCCTGGTACTGATGAACTATTGACACTCCAGCGCTCCCAGCGCTTTGTCAAATACACATTTTGAAGCCACTCAGCTAGTTTATCCTCTCCAGATTCTTTCCAGGCCTTTACCACTCGTTTAGAAAGAGCTCTAAACTGTTTTAGAGACCGAGACTGGTGTAGTAGTCGTAGGTGCTGTTTTCCGATGTCTTTCATGAATCCCTTGGTTTTCTCAAGCTTAGTCTGCTTGCGTGACTGACGGAGAAAATGCTCCCAACAGGATAGAATTTCTATATGGGGCCACACTAATTCGAAAGCAGAAGCTATAGCGTCTGCATGGTCAATACTGGCACTATGCACCTTCAGTTCAAGGTTCAAAAATGTTTTTGCGTATTTGACCAAAGCTCTAAGCATGTGCTCATAAGCAATGATGCTCTCTGTTTTGACGCACATGTAGATCCAAGGACGAAATCGCTGTACGTATCCCGTACCCGATCGCTCCACAGAGATTCCTCCACAGTCTACGAGGGTCCAACCACCAAAATGGATTCTGTAGGTGCCGTCCGTAGATAGCACCAAGCTGTCGCCTTGGTCATGTACTGCACGCTCTACATCGCGAAATAAAGCTCTAGATGTCACCACTACACCAAGTGAGGCTACGGACACGCCTTCTACAGTGACAAAATGCTCGAACTCGTCTAAGACGATAAGTTCGTTCATGTCTGCCCCATTCGTTTCATCGACTCGACAAAATTCAACTCGACTTTGACATAACTTTCCCGCTGTCCAGTTGTTAATGCCACGAATTTACTGATCTCCCATCCATCCCCCGCCAGTCGCTTCAAATAGACTGTCCTGTTTTCCATTTTCTTCGTTTCTGGCACCAGTGCGAGCATGACAGGATCTCTCAGACACTTAAAAAGCAGCATGTTCCTCACTCGACCTGCGGTCATACCGAGCTTTAGCAGTGCATCCACGTTGGGTTTTAAAATTAGTGAAATGCCCTTAGTTGTGAGATTAACTACAGTTCCAGCATGTTCTCCCTGCTGTAGAACCTGGTATTTTTCCCCAGATTCGCCAGCTTGATGGGTGATTAGCTTGATTCGATGATGACAATCTTTGTGTGAGCGGCACTCAAACTCTTTTCCACCCGAAACGTTGACACATATCGCGTCTTATAGCTGTAAACGAATTGATTCAGCTGGTGCAAGCTCCGCTGTGCCGTCTCCTTTGTATCGTAATAACCGACACTTGTGTATTGGACCTTATTGTGAATAGCAACAGTGGATATGCTAAACGGACCAGTTCCATCAGCCGCATTTTCATACTCTAGAGACGAATCAGAATCTTGATCACCGTCTACCGTGGCAACCACTCCAGAACTACCACTATTCGAATAAAATGCAGAGTGAGCAGTGCCATTGTCTGTAGTAGAAGTGTTGTCGTCGGCCGAAGGTGCGACGTCCATGTTTTCTACTGAGTCTGTTGTGTAGTCATCGTCCAAATCTTCTACCGAAACAGTCGCGCTCAGCATGTCCTCATTCTCTGGCTCGCTGGCATCGTGTGCGTACTCCAGCACATCCGTTTCTTCACCGTCATCGCTTGGGGAGAATATCAGCAGCTCCATGGGATCAGCTTCACACTGCACTGCCTGGTTCTTATGTCCGGTGGAAGTGTGAGCTGTTTGAAACTTCTTCTTTGAACTCTAGTAGTCTGTAAATAGCAAAGGTATTTGAAGGGTAAAAAATATAACAGTACTTCAGTATTGAATTTATGTTCACCTTATAACTAACAGTTTCGTAAGCCCACTGACAGGTGTTTGGCATGAGCAACAGGTATTCCTATAAAATAAGAGGTAACAGATGT